ACATTGTCGGATCCACCCTGTTGAGAATACAGGCCACTTGTCCGCTTGCATTGGCTCTGACCAGGGCTCCGAGTTTTCCGCTTCGGTGCATGTGGCCGCCGGACGAGCGTAGAAGGTAGTAGTCGAAACTGAGACATTCGGCCAATTCGCTGCAGGCCCGTTTGCAAGTGGACAGCGTCTGTTTACCGTCGAGACGCTTAAGAAGATACCGGCCAGAATAGCGAAATTCTGCCACCAAGCAGCGGCCGGGCCCAGCGAGAACCCCGATTCCGGCGTTGGGCTCATCAATCTGGTAGTGCACATTCTCCTTTGGACAGGCTGTGAAGGCAGAATGTACAGGTTTTACCGGTTATACGCCATTTTCCAGTTAGCACGACAAGTTGCGATACATGCAATTGCATGTGGGATAAGGGAAATCGTCACAGGAACAGAATTTAGAATATATGATGGCATAGGTACTCTATAAGGCAAGAAGCAATTCAACACCAACAGTTGCTGTAGAAGCCTCAACAGGGCCCAGGAAACCTTTTTTGTCTCTTGTGCTTAGAAGAAGAATTGACCTTTACAAATAAGTAATAAGAGTGATTATTACGGGACTTTATGAAAATAAGCAAATGCTTATAATATATATATATAATATATAATATAATATTATAATAATATAATATAATATATAATTATATATATATATACATAATATAATATATTTAATATATAATATTTAAAGACTCAAGCCTGTCTGAATTATTCAGAGATAGGACTTCAATTGTGGCCACAATTTTTCCCAAATTCGATGGATGGGCTGGAGGGGAGTTTGCAAGTAGCCATGGCTCTCCAAACTAGGCCACAAAAACGACTATGAATAAAACGGAATATTGTCGTGAAATATTTCACTTTATATTATAAGTTCAGGAGAAATAAATCCGTAGGTTGATCTCGCCGGAAGAAGATGGTCCTGCAGTAGTTTGGCTTTAACATGAGGTTCAGGTGAACAGGGTTCACTAGAATAGGAAAATGAGGGAAAATGAGGCTAGTTTTCATCCATCATGCTAGGACCTATTCTTGCGTGGGCTTTACGCTAACACAAAGTACCATACATTCGTGATTAAGAACGAAAATGTATCTGTAGATAGATAGACCGATATAGAACTATGTGGGTTTTTCTCATTTATATTGTTCAGAGTACTTATACTTGAGTGTGTGAGTCTGTGTGAGTGTGTTTTATTGCACTAGTCTACGAATTCAAGATACTATGATTTGTTAGAAAGTCGTATTTCAAATGTAAATAATAAGCAACATCGTTGAATCAGAGGCAATGAGAGACGTGGAAGTAAAGAAGTACACCATGAAAAGCCATTTTTTCAAGCAATGAGGCGAAATTCCCAAATGATGTTACAGGTTGGCTTCTATTCGAACACATTCACGTTGACGCTAAAACTTACATTCGCACTGGCGACAGGTTTTCCGGCAGAGGTATTGGCGCACGTTGCCCGCCTGGTCA